AAAGCCGGCGTTCTCTTTCCCTCCTTTTGCACAAGTTGTTTTAAGCCTCACACACATGAAGCTGGATTGGATAAAACCCCAGATACAGAATAATTCTTAATCAGTATATGTGATAAGGCGCCTGATTAGAATGGACTTTTCACTCTTTCTGGGCTGAGCTAAGATCACTGCCTCAGTTTTTAACTTAGATGGAATCTCTCCAGTGTCTCATAATTCTAGAAAGACTGCTTTCTGGCTACATCAGAATGCCAAATTGTCAGCATCTTTCTGAGTATTGGAAGAAATTTCAGCAAGGTTAAGAAGATGAGAAGAAACAGCCTCTTATATCTCCCAGAGTCTAATCAAACAAATATGCCAGTATTAGTTCAATACAAATTACTCCAGTTGGACTAAGATACCAATAAGAAAAGTACCATGACACCAAATATCAGAACAATCAGAGAATCATTTTTAAGCAGTTTGCATATAGTACTACTATATTCTCAGTATGGTGCACAGCTGCATTTTAATTATCTTCCCTTCGAGATGTCAAAAGTCTGCATTCCAAAATACTCAATACATAACAACACAGTAGCTACACGTCCTGAAACTTATACCATGATTTAGGATAGGATTTTGCATAGGAACCATGTCCCAAATGGTGTCTCTTGAGATGCTGTTCCCTTATTTCCTGTGTGTAGGGCATGAAGATTTTGCACAACGAATTGTTCCTGTCTCTCTCATGGTGAAATCGTTTGTCTTGTGCTTTTCTTTACAATGGAGAGCTGCACTTTTCCCACTAAAATGTGTTAATTAAAATTATAAAAAGAATTAGAGATTTCTGATTGATTAACCATGTAATTACCTATTGATGGTTAGGAATCATTAGTATGAGCAAAACCCTTCTCTTTACTTATTACCATCTGTAACCATTTGGTGCGCTGGCTTCTTCACACCGCATATTTCATCTCGTTTAAAATCTCATGAGGGAGGATCCCTATTGTTGCCTATTTATGCAGCCTTTCAGCATTTTGTTTAGTTATTTAAAGAACATTGATTTCAGGACCAAGACAGCTGGCAATGTCTGTGGCATGTAAACTGTACTGTTGAGTAAAATGGCCATATATGACTTAATTCATATAGCTTCAGTCATCTAGCTTATTGTCAATCTACTTGAATTCCCCTACACGTGTCAGCACTTCCACTAGAAATAGTTTAGAGACCCTGAGTGGCCTTATTTTGCAAGATAATTCATTTTTTTAAAGTATATTTTGATGTTCAGAGAAGATTGTACCTGCAAGGGGTCCAGGCATTTACAGGAGGATGGAGGATCTTTTGACTAAAGAAAGGACTGAAGAAGCTGTATGCTGACAACTGAACTTAAGTTTAAAGCAGTAACTCTCTTCATGCTTTGGGTTGAGGTATTTCATTCAGTGCATTATAGCTCAGCTGCATAATCAATGTAAAGTATTAGCCAAGCTTTTAGCAAACCATCTTATCCCTCATGATTATGTTGTTTGACAAACAAAATGTAACTCCATATTTTGTTACCATGGCAATGGCAGATGGGAAGACTGTGTGTCCAGGCACCAAGTGTTCACTTCAGTTTGGCTGGGTTGAATTAAACCTTGATCTGTTGGTAGAACTAATTTTGTTCAACGCTGAAATTCTGCAAACTACATATTGAAATTAAAATCATTACTACAAAGTGTTTGTACTGTGTTATAAGAACAGCCACTATGGCTGAAAGGCATTTCTTTCATTGCAGCAAAACACTTCAGCATCATTGAATCAAAGTGCTCATACTTAATCCTAGGGCAAACAGATTTCTGTGGCAGAATCAAAAGGTGTCTAGTGTCATTAGTACTTCTGAGTGCGGGGAGTGTTACCCATCTGTGGGTATCTGTGTACGATATACCCCTGGCTCTGCAGCTGTACATCTTTCTCTCCCCAAGTGTGCTAGGGCTGCATCTAGTTCAGTTCAGTTCAGGTTTTGACCTTAAACCCTGTTCCCTGGAATAGCTACAGTGCCACATGGAAGCACAGTGCATATGCTTTGCTTCTTCAGTTCTCTTTTCAGAGCTGAGCCTTCTATTGGCTGGACTCTTTCTGCATTAGAAGTCACTGGTACAAGATAAAAGTCTACTGTAGGATATATTCTGCTGGCTTTAATAAGAAACCAAGATGACTAACATGGCTTTTCTCTCTTTTCTCCAGAAATCACAAAGCCACCACTAGCACCAAAACCAAAGATTACCGGTCATCTTTCTCCAGTAGCTGTCTCCAAATTTTCTCCTTCACTACCAAGGGCTGATATTCTTCATAGCCCGAACTCTATGTCTAGAGGTCCCAAACCACCTATTGCTCCCAAGCCAAAATTCTCAGCTGACACTGAGGGCAAATCCAGTGTTTATGCCAACAATAACTTAAATATATGCTCAAATGGGAAACTGGTATGTCTTGATGGAGAGCTGTATGAAGGAAACCAATGCAATGCTGATTGCCCAGTATCTGAGGCAGATAATGAATACATTGTAGTTCCTGAAGCTCAGCTGACCAGCAAAGACTGTAATGACTTGGAACATGAGCATGATCAGAACCTAGATTCCTCTGTGGAAAATGAAGTCTCGGAAACTCCAGAAGAGGTAGAGAAGGAAGAGGATAACATTGCTAATGATGAGGATACCAGTAATGAAGATGAGCACCATAAGTCTTCAGATATTGCTGAACCAATGCAACCAGTGTCGGAAGAGTCAACCAGAGACTGTGACCAGTCCGAAGCACTTTGTGAGGAGTCCTCAGATACCCCTGATGGGGATAATGATGCTTCCAAGAATGTAGATGAAGATGAGGATATTGTAGGTGATTGTAGTGAAACCAAAAACAAGGAGGAAACTTCTAACAACCTGGAACTGGTTAAGGACCATAGTGATTGTAAGACTGACACTGATAACATTTTGAATAGAGATGAGGAACTAATGGGTGATGTCTGTAAAGATACCATTGTAATGCCACTACCCGCAGATGAATCAATCCCAGGTTGTGAGAAGGCAGGGCAGGAGGAGGAGGAACTGCCTGAGATTTTAGAAAAGGGAGATGGGTGTCTAGCACATGATGGTGATCACAGTGTGCATGCAGAGCTTGATTTGAACATGGAAGGGGAGTTAGAAAATGATGACTGTGCAAGCCCTGACATGCTGCCCAAGGAGGCCAGCGAAGAAGCAGCTCCTGGCTTAGAACTGTGTGAAGATGAACCCAGTGCTGAAAATGGTTTAGGAGAGTGCATCCATCAAGCAGCAGCTGAAGAGGAGGAAGCAGAACCAGATGAGCGCAGTAATACAAACACAGGAAATGCCAGTGATGGCTGCCAGATCACTGAGAGGACAGATGAGGAGAAGACATCAGAGGTAGGCTGTGAAGCAAGCAAAGACTCTGGGAAAGGGGAAGAAGAAACTGTGAATGCAGAGAATATGGATGATGGCTGTCAAATTGCTCTTTGTGAGAATGAATGTGGTGAGGAAATACCCATGGAAGATTCAGATGAGAATCTTCAAACAGAAGGGACCTCTCTGGATGAAGATGGTGTGATCTCTGATAGTCTACCTAGTAGTCCAGAGATGGAGCCAGAGTTGGAAGATGTGACTGTTGAAGAGCATAGTGAAAGTATTGTGGAAACCTCTAAGTCAGATGAGCTGCAACTTGAAGACAATGAGGTGGAAGCAAACAGCCTCAGTGTCCCAAGTCCACCTCAACAGCTTCCACTTGAGGAAGAGTTAGAAGTCCATAAGCATGCTAAAATGAATGCAGAATGTGAGACCAGACATGTCTTGCATGAAAATCGAGCAGTCCCTGAAGTGGTCATTGTGCCTGAAGAATCAGAGGAAAGAGAAACTAGCGGTGATTCCCTAGATGACCCTTATGTGCTTCCCGCAGAAAATGAAATTGCTTATGATGGGCAGACTGATTTGGGAGCTGATCACAGTAAAAGGGATGAATTAGGCACGGATGGTGAAAACAACTTGCTGCCCATTGATCGTAAAAGCATTGTCACTAGAACACGGTCGCTTTCTGGGAAGATGCCAGGCTATGTCCCAGAAACAGTTCCAGAAGAAACTGGACCTGAAACTGATTTACCATCTTCTCGCAATGGCTCTGGGACAGAAGATTTAAGCAATAATTTATTTTCAGCGGAAGGAAAACCAATAGAAGCCAACAGGGCATTACCAACCAAGTCAAGACGTTTCATTTTATATCCTCGATCTTATTCTGTTGAAGGGAGAGAGATACCTGTCTCTGTTTACAGAGAAAGTGACGGCTGCATACTGGATGATGGTAGAATAAAAAGGACAGAAGACAACTTGTCTTTGCCTTGTGTCAATGGTTCATCAGGTGGTTTTTCCCAGAGAAATCATCTTTCATCATGTGGCGTATCTACTCCATCCTCAGTTGTTGATATACCACCTCCTTTTGAACTTGCCTACATCACCAAAAAGCCAATCACTAAAAGTTCCCCTTCACTTTTGATAGAGAATGACTCACCTGATAAGTATTCCAAGAAAAAGAAATCTTCGTTTAAGAGGTTCCTCACTCTAAAATTCAAGAAGAAAACTGAAAGTAAAGTCCATGTAGATGTCAATGTTTCCTCTTCAAGGTCCTCATCAGAGTCTAGCTATCATGGGCCTCCAAGGCTGATGGAGCTGGACAGGAGGAGCCTAAGTAGCTCACCTCAACTAAAATCACATGTGGGGAAGTTCCGTGCATCTGAGTCTCCCTCAGCTGTTCTTTTCTATAAGGATGGTAAAAGAAAAGGAACGCCTAAGTCCTTCAGCA